AGAACCTTCAACCCTGAGGGACACCCCCGGCCAGGGAGTCGAACAGGAGTCCCCACCCCCAGCACCACCACCACCGGGGTCTGACCTTCCAGGAAGGACGGCTTGCTCTCTGCCATTGGTCAGAGGCCTTGCCATCATTGTCTGCGTAGGTACTCCACCGCCATCCCTGTTGTGTGAAGTTCCCGTTGTGTTTGTGAGAATATGAAGAGAAGACCTGTAAATAGTTACAAGTAGCAGATACATCAAGCCTAAGACCTCCGTGGACTGTGGATGAAAGTCAATATGACTGCATAATTAATGTTATTGTTTATGGTTTTAGGTTGTTGTTATTGTGATATTGCGGCATCGAATTACTACCAGTGTTACCCACTCAGAGTCCCCCCCCCCTCGGGGGTGGAGAAGAGCGGAGCAGAAATGTTGCCAATAAAGAAATAGAAGTCAGAACTCAAGAGTGTTGATTCCAAGCGATGAGCTACTTGACAAGGCCAGAGGCTGTGACACTGAGACCAGGACTCTGCGGTGTTTTGGGGGTTGGAATGAACCACTTGCCTATGAGACAGTCTGTCCCATTGCAAAGCTGGAAGAGGCCGTGAGAGGATTGCATTCACGTGCCTGCCTAGCAGGGGAGTTGTGCGTGTTTGGACTCTGCTTCTCCTTGACCTCCACCCCTCACTCACATTGACAAGTTGTGCAAAAGCCTCACCTAAACAAGAGAAAGAACGTCCTGGTGGGAAGAGCTGTTGAGTGGTGGAGTCTGTTCCCACCGGGAGTCCATGAGAGTCTCCCTTGGAGGTTTCTAAGCAGAGACGGCATGACCATCTGTTGGGTGTTCTTTGGTTGGTTGATCCTGTGTGGTCTGATGAGGATTGGCCCATCCGCACACAAGCAGGCCTGACTACTGGGAGGAGGAGGAGGAGGAGATGGGTGTCCTTCAGCCTTGACCCAGTGGGCCGTGGAGTCCATCCCCGTTCTGCTCCAAGCAGCATCTCCAGCGAGAGCATCCTCCCTCCGCAGGTCGCTCTCCGGCCTCTTTTTGGGGTCACCAAGGGGGAGGAACCCCCTCCTCTCTCGGCCCTTGCCTTCTCACCCAAATAGAAGAATCACAGAAGAGTAGAGTTGGAAGAGACCACGTGGGCCACCTGGTCCACCCTCTCCTTCCATGCCAGAAAAGCAGAATCCCTTGGCAGAATCCCAGCCGCCAGGTGAGCAAAGGTGCGCTCAAAGCCAAACCTCACTGGCTCTACTGCTGCGCTCAAGAAGCTTCTCATCTGCTACACTGCTGCAATTTGGTTCTCCTGTGAGCATGGAGAGAGGCAAGATGTCTGCAGGGAGATAAATAGGCCCTAACCTTCCTATACAGAATGTATTTCTTTCAATGCCAAACCTCACTGGCTCTACTGCTGAACTCAAGAAGCTTCTCACCTGCTACACTGCTGCAATTTGGTTCTCCTGTGAGCATGGAGAGAGGCAAGATGTCTGCAGGGAGATAGATAGGCCCTATTATTATTATTATTATTATTATTATTAACTTTATTTGCTGCTGCGCTCAAGAAGCTTCTCACCTGCTACACTGCTGCAATTTGGTTCTCCTGTGAGCATGGCGAGAGGCAAGATGTCTGCAGGGAGATAGATAGGCCCTATTATTATTATTATTGTTATTATTATTATTATTATTATTATTATTATTATTATTAACTTTATTTGCTGCTGCGCTCAAGAAGCTTCTCACCTGCTACACTGCTGCAATTTGGTTCTCCTGTGAGCATGGAGAGAGGCAAGATGTCTGCAGGGAGATAGATTGACCCTAAACTTCCAATACAGAACATATTTCTTTCAATGCCAAACCTCACTGTCTCTACTGCTGCGCTCAAGAAGCTTCTCACCTGCTACACTGCTGCTACTTTGTTTTCCTGTGAGCATGGAGAGGAGCAAGATGTCTGCAGGGAGATAGATAGGCCCTAACCTTCCTATACAGAATATATTTCTATCTATCTCCCTGCAGACATCTTGCCCCTCTCCATGCTCACAGGAGAACCAAATAGCCGCAGTGTAGCAGGTGAGGAGCTTCTTGAGCTGAGCAGTAGATCCAATGAGGTTTGGCATTGAAGGAAATACATTCTGTATAGAAAGGTTAGGGCCTATTTATCTCCCTGCAGACATCTTGCCTCTCTCCATGCTCACAGGAGAACAAAAGATTGGAAGCTCCTTGAGCATAGCAGCAGAGCCATTGAGCTTCAGCAAGCTTTAAATATTGTGAAAGGCTTAATAGCAAAAACTACATTTCTATAGAGGAAAGCAAAGGGCCTATTTAGCTCACTATCTACCTGCAGACACCTTGTCTCTCTCCATGCTCACAGGAGGAGGAGAAGACAATGGCAGACTTTGGGGTTTGGAACGTTGTACGTCCCTGAGAAGGAAAGAGAGAAAAGCAGACCAAGAAAGAAGCCCTTTCCTCACAAAGTAACTCGTTCTGCCGACCTGTTTCCTTGATGAGGACTAGGAACTTGTGTGGGTTGAGGTCCAATAATATTGCCTATGTATTCCAAGAGGGAACCATGGGGGGAGTTACTAGGATGTCTTTATGCGCACCAATAATAGCAATAACAATAACAGCACAAATAGAAACAATACAAAAAAATAACAACAGAGAAGGCGACGGGGTCAGAGGGCACCGTGGGGGCTCCCGTTGTCCGGCCCGCCCGGGTCTGCGTTCAGGAGGGTCTCCGTCCATCCTGGGCCGAAAGGGGCACTGCTTCTGTTGTTATGGGCGAGAAAAAAAGGAGAGACGTTGGAGACATATATCTATATATATAAAAAGGTAAACGTCGTCCTTAGTGGTTCAAAAACGGAAAAACGACAGGACCAAATCTCACCCAATTTGGCCTTCTAATGCCTCACGCCCCAAGGTATGACCAACAATCATCACAATCCCAATACACACCAAAACAAACTCACAAATTCAAAACAACACAGGGCTGAACGTCCAGCCATTGATATAGATAGATAGATGGATAGATAGATAGATAGATAGATAGATAGATATGATTCACAAACAGGGAGATATAGTATCCTAGATTTGAAAGAGACCCTTAAAGAAGGACAGTGATATGTGGCAAGTTCCAGGGTGGGCAAACCAGACACTCTCCACGTCCACACTGGGAAAGACACAGCAAGAAATACTGTTTACTCACAAGCAGAAAGGAATTGCATAGATTAGAAACCCACACTTTCTCATTAGTTTATTTTCCAGATTACCAGACTGAGCCACAGCAACGCCTGGCAGGGGACCGCTAGTATTATATAGATATAGATATAGATAGTATCATAGGTTTGGAAGGGGCCCCCAAAGGCCATCCAGTCCGGCCCCGTTCTTAACTAAGAGTTGTTTGCAAGTCGGGTTTTTGTAACTCGGAGGCGGCCTGAACATATATAATAATAATAATAATAACAATAATAATAATAATATAAAAATACAAATACATATAATATGAGATTCTCTATCTCTACCTTTTTCTCTCTATCGATCGATCTATTTATATCTATCTGTTGATTGATCTATCTATTGATTGATTGATCTATCACTATATTGATCTATCCATCTCTATCTATCTATCTATCTATCTCTATAGATCGATCGATTGATCTCTATCTATCTATTTATCTCTTTCTATCTCTATCTATTGATCTATCCATCTCTATCGATCTATCTATCGATTCATCGATCTTTATCTATCTATCTATTTATCTAGTCATCTACCTACCTACCTACCTACCTATTTATCACTATCTATCTATCTATCTATCTATCTCTCTCTCTCTCTCTGTCTATCTATCTATCTCTCTATCGATTGATTGATTGATCGATCTCTATCTATCTATCTATCTATCACTCTCTGTCTTTCTATCTCTATGTATCACTATCGATCTATCTATCTCTCTCTATCGATCAATCAATCTCTATCACTCTCCGTCTTTCTATCTCTATCGATCTCTATCTATCTATTGATCGATCTCTGTCTTTCTAAATCTATCTATCTATCTCTATTATCTATCCATCTATATCGATCGATCTATCTATCTATCTATCTCTATCAATTGATCTATATCTATCTATCTATTGATCGATCTCTGTCTTTCTATCTCTATCTATATTGATTGATCTCTATCTATCTCTATATCTATTTATCTATCTATCGATCAATTGATCTCTATCTATATCTATTGATCAATCTATCTCTATCTTTATTTCTATCTCTATCTACCTATCGCTACCTATCTATTGTTTGTTTGCCCAGCCGGGGCTGTTCCAAGCGGGGCTCCATGGTGAGGCCGGGCCTTCCTCCTTGGGGGGCTGAGGTGTGCCTCACCTGTCCTGCAGGTGACCCTGGGCTCCTCCCATTGGCCATCCTCCCGGCACCGGGCGAGGGGCGAGTGGCGCTGGCGGAGCCCCCCGCGGCATCGGTAGCGGACCACGGACCCAGCCTCGTAGCGCACCTTGGCCTTCCCGAAGACCCGGGCCCCGCTCACCTCCGGAGGGGGGCCACACCACACTTCAGGGAGAGAGAAAGGGAGGGGGGCATTGGCCAAGCAGATGGACCAATGACCCAAAGGGGTCTTCTGATCACGTTACCACAGGATACCAGATAAGGAGAGGCCCCTTCCCAGGATCCCCTCCTCACCGAGGCCCATCTTGCAGGTGAAGGAGAGGTGGTAGTTGCAGGGCACGTCGCTCCACTGGCCCTGGTCGTGCCACACGATGACCGCGCAGTTCTCTCCGGACAGGAAGTAGCTGTCCGGCTGGCCCGGGTGCCAGTTCTCATAGAGCTGCAGCAGGACAAGGGAGGGGGAGGGGAGGGGTCAAGCAAGGGCAGGCAGGACAGAGTTTGGCTCACCCTCGCCCAGGTTGGGGTCCCAAAAGCACCCCCAGGCCACCTTCCCAACCCCAGGTGAGTGGCCAGAAAGAAGGATGGATAGATAGGGACGTAGATATGGATAGAGAGAGATAGACATGGATGGCTAGATCAATAGAGAGATCGATCTGGAGAAATGCCTAGAGATAGAGGTGGACAGCTGGACAGAGAGCTGGCGATGGCCGGATGTAGAGATAGATATGGCTGGGTAGATTTATAGATCAATACAAACAGATATGGAAAGACAGATAGAAACACACACACACACACAGAGATGGGGATAGATGGACAGATAGAAATTGATGGATGGATAGAAGTAGATATGGAGATAGATAGGTAGATAGAGAGATAGATAGAGAAATGGATTGGTGGATGGATGGATGGATGGATGGATGGATGGATGGATGGGTGGATGGATGGTTGGATGGATGGATAGATGGATAGATAGATAGATAGATAGATAGATAGAGATAGATAGATAGATGATAGATAGATAGAGAAATGGATTGGTGAATGGATGAATGGATGGATAGATAGATAGGGAAATGGATTGGTGGATGGATGTATGAATGGATGTATGGATGGATGGAAGGGTGAATGGATGGACGGACGGATGGATGGATGGATGGGTAGAGAAATGGATTGGTGAATGGATAGAAAGATAGATAGAGATGGATGGAAATAGATATGGATAGAAAGATGGAAATAGACAGATAGATATGGATAGATAGATGGAGATGGAGATAGAGAAAGAGAGAGATAGACGGATAGAAATAGATATGGATAGATAGATTGAGACATAGACAGACAGAAAGACATGGATATGGTGGGTAGCTAGATCGATAGATAGAAAGAGAGAGAGATGAAGAGAGGGGGCGGAGCCTTTGGATAGATAGATATAGGGATAGATAGAAATAGATGGATGTAAATAGATATGGATAGAAAGATGGAAATCGATAGATATGGATAGATAGATGAAGAGAGAGATAAAGATGGATAGACAGAAATAGATATGGATAGATAGATTGAGACATAGACAGACAGAAAGACATGGATATGGAGAGTGAGAGTAGCTAGATCGATAGATAGATAGAGATGAAGAGAGGGGGCAGAGCCTTTGCAGAGGGGGTGTGGCCTACCAAAGGGCTGCCGTCGGACCACTGGAAGTCCCCTTCGATGGTCCGGTCGTTCAGGCCGATCCATTGATACTCCTTGTAGCGCTCTGGAAAGCCAAGAGGGCCTCGTGGTTAGTGGTGAATGTCGTGTCTTGTAGATGCCATTCGGGCTGAGGAACGCGCCTTCCCGGGTAGGAAGGGATCCCCAAGGAAGTGCCCCCTCCCCAAGACCCTATCCGTGAGCACGATCCTCTAGAAACCTGTGGGGGCCCTACTGTTGAGGAAGTCCTGCTCCTCGGGGGTGGCGATGCTGGCCAGGTGGGCCCCCTGCGCGCGGCACTGCGCCTCGGCCTCCTCCCAGCTCCGGCGACGCGGGAAATGTCTATAGCAGGAGCCCTGGAAGGCCTCCCAACCTGATCGGCAATGCTCCAGTTCTGGGTTAAGAAAGAAGGAAGGAAGAAATGTCTTGTCGAAGTGTTTCGTTCACGGATGGAATCACCACAGTGTCATTGTGCGGGTTCCAGTCTCTATGGCCGATGCGATCGAGAAGCAGCTGCACCTTTTTCTTGTTTCGCCTGGATCTACGACTACTGGCACCGTCGTGTTTTAATTTATGTGAGTTAACGCTCACAGGGGGTTTTGCAGAGTGATTAGTGTCTGTTTGTCTGTGTATTTTTGCCTTTTATTGTCTATGGCAGTGGACTAATCATCAATAAACAGATCTATTTATCTGGCTGGAATTACCAGAACATTCCTGTTTTGACTTTCATACCCATTCAGTTTTAAGAACAAACCTACAGTATTAATTGTATTTATGTTTTATTGGTTTTTAAGCTTTACATTTTGCTTTTGTCTATTTTATTTATAATGCGACATTGAATTTTGCCTTATCTGTAGGCCGCTCTGAGTCCCCCTCAGGGCAAGAAGCATGGGATATAAATATAGTAAATAAATAAATAATAAATACAGAACAATTCTTGTTTGTAACTTGGGGACATCCTGTATTATTATTATTATCTGGTCAGGAGGAGAAACCCAGTTTTGGCTCCACAAAACAGAGGAAGAACAGCTTGAAGAGGCCGCCTCCTTTTCCTTCTGGGGTTAAAGAGCTCAAAACGGGTAAAGCACCAGAACTGAATGGAATCAGCCCTGAATTACAGTATGTAGCAAAATTTGGAAAATGTTCTGTTACTGGTTGGAAAGTGCTATTCCTGTTTAATTGTGTGGTCCTTACTTTGAAAGTAGTTGTTATGTTTTCGTGGCTGAATGGGACAAGACTTGATTCCTTGAAAAACTAGAACAAAATGTGCTGAATGATGTCCCTCCCATGAAGTTTCTACAGTTTAATAAACTTTTCCCATTTTTTTTATGATAGAACCAATTAGGAAATGACATTTATAATCCAGTAACAAAAAAAAGTCGTTATATTATTATTATTATTATTATTATTATTGTATTATTATATTCATAATATATTATTATACTTATTAATGTATTTATTTTCCCATGTTTTTATGACAGAACCAATAAGGAAGTGACATTTACAACCTAGGAACAAAAATCATAGTGTGACATAGTGTTATATTATTATTATTATTATTATTATTATTATTATTATTATATATTATAATAATATAATATATACAATTTTATTTCTAACCCGTCCTCTCTCCCCAACGGGACTCAGAGCGGCTTCCAAAAGCAAAATGGCAAACATTCAATGCCATGTGCAGTATCAAAATAAGCAAAATAGGCAAACAAATCAATCAAAATTAACAATTAAATAGATTAAAATGAACAAATAAAACAACCTTAGCAAGAGAATGTAATCAATCAGGCCTCAGAAGTAACACATTAAGTAGTTAGAATCTGTATCAAATCGAAGAATATAAAAATGTGGCTATTCCAATAAATTAAGGTGATCATTGTTAGCACCGTCAATTAAGATATTTCTTATTATTTTTGTTGTTGTTATTGCATGACAATATGATAGACCCAATTAGGAAATGACATTAACAACCCAGGAACAAGGCTTGTGTTACAGGGATTAAAGAGTTCAAAACGGGTGAGATGCCAGGTCCGGATGGAGTCGGCCTTGAATTATGAGACCTGCCAGCAAATGCATTGGGAGGTCTTGCTGACCCCGTGCTTTGGTCAGTGGGGCCCTCAGGCCCTCCACCCACATGCACTCACCATCCTGGCAGGTACCCCCTCCGTATCCAGGTAGGCAGAGGCAGGTGAGGCACCCCCCGTCCTCTGCTCAGGTGCCTCCGTTGCACAGGATGTTTCCCAAAAACAAAGCTTTTGCAGTTTCATCAACTTTCCCCATATTTTTAGGATAGAACCAATTAGGAAATGATGACATTTATAACCCAGTGTAATGAACTCATACCTTTGCTTTGTAGGCCGCAGCCTGGGAGTCAGTGAGCTGGCCTCCATGTTGGGAATGGAAAACCCCAACAAACTACAAAACCCTGTACGGTTCCGGTCCAGTGTATCTGTCCGAACGTATCTCCCTCTACGCCCCACCCCAGAGTTTGAGATTATCTGGGGGGGGGGGCTGCTCTCGACCCCACCGCTATCCCAAGTGAGGTTGGTGGGGACAAGGAGCAGGGCTTTCTCAGTGGTGGCCCCTCACCTGTGGAACTCACTCCCGGGGGAAATTAGGGCATCAACATCCCTCCTCTCCTTCAGGAGGAAAGTAAAGATGTGGTTGTGGGACCAGGCCTTTGGGCAATCTGACAACTAGATAAGGACAATAGGACGATTAGGACTGATAGGACTGACAATGTGGAATTGGAATTTGGACTGAGATAGCGAACGCTGACCGTCTATGAGGAGTAATTGGGTTTGTATTGTTTGTGTTGTTTTATTGGTTTTATGGTTGTAATGCAGGAATTGTTGTTTAACTGTTTAACTGTGTAATTGTTAATTGATGTTATTTTGTTTTACTACTGTTATGTGATGCTGGCATTGAATTGTGCCTTTGTAAGCCGCCCTGAGTCCCCTTCGGGGTGAGAAGGGCCGGGTAGAAGGAACCGAAATAAATAAATAAACAAATAAACAAATAAATAATTTGGGAAGGCAGCTCGGGATGGCGGACATGTTGGTATAGGAAGAGAGGCAAGGGGAGGAGTCAGCTAACTCCTGATTGGTTCAGACCCCAAGGGGAGGAGTGGAAGGAGAGTGTCAATAGGCTGTCATTTCTGACAGAAGAGGAGAGAGAAGGATTTGATCTAGGAGAGATAGGATTAGGATTTCAGACACGGAGAAGAGAGTTTCTGAGTGAGCTAGGAATTAGACTGTTAGGGAATAATAAGAGCAAGGGCTTCTGAGTAGTTTGACTGGGGCAAAGTGAAGACTTGTTTCCTTGTATCAGGACAGAATACAAGTGAATTTATTTCCCTACAGTTTAGAGTAGTCCAGGGAAAACCTAGATACTCTAGAAAGGCAGCCAAGGGCGGCTGGTCCAAGAAACACACCATTACATGTTATAGGATAGTGTGAGGAAAGTAGCTCACGTTAAGAAAAAGTTACTCCTTCTAAGGAAACCATTTGTGTTGAGACTCAGCGTCTCGGCAGTGAATCTACTACTAGTTGCAGGAGAAGGAGGAGTGATGCTGAGTCAGAGCTGGATCAGCGTCAGCTGAAGCGCATTTGTGAAATCATTTTGGCCCCGAGCGACACAGAGGACTTTGCAGGGTTTGGCCCTGAAGATCTAGTAGATTACCGGGGAGTAAAGCGTGTTGCCAGTGAGTCTGACAGTGATGAAGACACCATGAGTAAACGGCTTAAAGATACAGCTGACAATTCCAGTTCAGGTGAATTGGAAGCCAGTGAGGGGGAAATGGAGGAGGAACTGGATTGGACTCTTGTTAAGGACATTAGGGACATATGCACCCAAGCCACGTCCAGTGACGAGTTCGAGGGGTTCCAAGATACATGGAAGGAAGGTACATCTTGGCAGAATCAGGAATTGGATCAACGATGGCAGCGTTGGCGTGGTAATGAGCCAGCAGCTGAGGGAAATGATCCAGATGATAGTGATGTAAGCCAATCAAGTGATAGTGACTGCTAATAAATTGGGAGCTCTGGGATGTGTAGCTTTGCAGAGGACAAAGTGTTTATCGGGTGCTTTGTGCTGCCTAACTTCTGTTTGGGTCCCTGGTATCCAGCGATCCTGCCTTCGTGTGACTTGACTTCGGATCTGTTCTACGTGAGTGACTTCATCCTGCCCCTGACCTTGGAATCGTCTCTGGACTACGCAACTGTTTTCTGGATTTTGTTATTGCTCTGAACTCTGTTTGATTAAGAAACTGCCTTGATTCTGTGTTTGCCAAACGCTCCTCGTGTTTACTCCTGCTTTCCTTTTTGCTGAGCTTGAGTCCTGGAAGATCCGGCTTATCTCCCTCTTTGTTTACCTGCCTGAAGGTCCTTTTGGTTTGGTAATTAGCACTGCTGTTAAGTGCTCTTACTGATAGAGACTCATTAAAGACTTTTTGTTAACCCTTAAACTGCTGTGTGGACAATCTCTGGGACCTGAGTCACAACAATTTGCTTGATAAGTCTGTGCTTCAGAAACAAACTACGCGTTGTACCTCTCAGTAATGAGTTGTCTGCTTCAACTATTTCAATAAACCTGTTCTCTAGTTTACCATTAATCTGCCTCAGCCTTGTTCTATCATACAAAGTTAGACCCAGTCGGCCTCCACATCTCCACAGTTCAGTCACAAGAAAGGGAGCCAAAAGGAAGAACCGGTGTATAAGGGACATTTTACCTCAAGTACAACGACAAGACAAT